TTCATGGTGGCTGATTTTTTAAAACAACTTTATTGAGGTATGACTGACACACAACAAACTGCACGTATATAAAGTATAAAGTTTTTTAAGTTTTGACATATACATAGATATGTATACACCTGTGGAACCAGTAAAGATAATGAACATATCCATCATTCTCAACAGCTCTAGCTGTTCTGAGCTACACTGACCTCCCTGCTGTTCATCCAATACAATAAACAGACTTCTACTTCAGGGTCTTCGTGCTTGCTGTTCCCTCTCCCTAGAAAGCTTGTGTCCTAGACATCTGCATGGCTTTCCCTACCACCACCACTCCCTTTTCCTGCAGTCATCCATGATCTGCCTATGCCCCTTACTTGCTTTAGTTTTCTTCATAGCATGTGCCATACAACACTGGTATTTTTTATTTATTGTCTGACTTCCTCTTTAGAATATAAGCTACATAAGAGAAAGGACTTTGTTTTACTATTGTGTTCCCATCACTTAAAACAGTCTCCACCATCACAGCAATATTAGAGAGTGGTAGATCCAAAGCAAGTTACTCTAGTAGGACAAGTTCAATATTATTCTCCTTCTTGAGCACTTCATCAGTCATGTTAGATTCAGCTGCATGTAATAGAAAACTCAAAAAACTATGTGACTTCAAAAGAAAGATGTTTCTTTCTTTTTCACATAAAGTCTAAGACAGCTCTTCAGTCATTAGTAACCTTGGCTCCTTCTATCTTGCTAACAACACCACCCTTAGTTGTCAATTAATGGTCCAAAATGTTGCTTGCACTTCAAACAAACATGATATGCACATTCCTGTCAACAAGGACAGAAAAAAACAGGTCTCTACCACTTGGCCTCACCTACTACAAGCTTTGGGAAATGTGCTATTTGTTGCAGGCTGTGGATCCAGATTAAAAAATTAAGGGTTCTATTATTATTATAATAGATAGTAATAGATACTGGAGCGGCAATTAGTCATTTCTGTCTGCCACTGAAGGCACTATTGTGTTACTCTTCTTTTTGTCCCTCTGTATGTATTTTGCTCTACCAGCAGAGGCATTAGACATAAAAGGATGAAGAGGGAGGAAATAAAGCATTTGAGTAGAGAGGTAAAATTCTTTGTTCTACCTTTTACTTCATTATTCTCTCAACAACCATTCCTCAAAGGTACTAGGATGTGATGTACAAGCAAAGAATAGGGAATGATTAGTTAATCTGTTTCTCAGGGTCACTGTGAAAGCTAATCACTTAACAAAGGGATTTGAGACCTTGGCTTCCCATGCTGTGTTCAAAGCCTTATCATTAGATGAGGATATAAATTAATGGGCTTTCTTAATTGGCAGCAGAAGAAAGATACCTGTTCAAAAGGTGCAAGTATGGAGAAACTGGATGACCACCTAGATGGGTGATCAAAATTACTAACAACAAGGGGCAGGTGGAACCTGTATGCCTGTCTATAGATGTGATATCCTAGAGACACAACCAGGGACATGTACCAGAATGTAATCATGAAGAAACATGAAGCAAACTCAAAATGAATAATGAGGCACATTCCATTAAACAATAGGTGGTGAGACTGTCAAGTGTCACAAAAACTGAGATAGATTAGCTGAGCTAGATTAAAGAAGACTAAGAAGATTTAGCCCAAAATTAAAGTATATGATTCTAACAGAACCCTGTACAGGAAAGGGGAAAAAAATACAAGGATAATGTTGGATCAATGGACAAAATTAAATATTATTTATAGATTATTCAATAACTAAACCATGGTTATGTAAGATGTACTACTTCTTAGGAAATAAAAGAATTTATGGTAAAGGATATGATATAAACAACTTAAATGGTTGAGGAAAAACATACATAGTAAAAATACACATGTGTGTATATATACAGAGAGAGAGCAAGAAAGTGCAACTAATAAAGCAAATGGGGGTGAAATGCTAACAGCTAATAACAATAGGTGATTCTGGTTAAAGGGTATGTATGCGTTCTTAATACAGTTCTTGAAATTATTCTTTAAGTCTGAAATCCCTCCAATCCCTGAGGAGCAAGGACAATAAACAACATTCAGATTATTTTATTCCTGCACTTGTCTGATGAACTATTCCAGAGGCTGCATTTGATTCTGTGCAAAATCTGTGTTAAGCTTTCAATTGGGGGAGGAAGAAACAACTCCAATTAGTTAACATTTATTAAGGTTTTGTGAAAAACAATATTCCAGGCAAGGCTTCAGGTCACTTCCATCCAAGAAACCTACGGCAGACCAGGCTCTTTTCTTCTGTTCACCAAATGTGTCAAAGATACCATCTGACTGAAGCTGTTATTGGGACAAACGTTTAATCACCACTGGACAGGATGACCAAATTAGCCAGTGGCTGTACACAAGGATCCCATCTCTCCTGTATCCTGGAACAAGGGAACTGGCATTCTGACAAACTATTAAAGTGGTGGTAGTGGAAATGATGATAGCTTGGGTTTCAATTGCACTCCAGATGGCTTTGGATTTGCCCACAGGAAAAGAATAAAGTATGTTACCCCACATCCACACTAAGTTCTTCAGTTCTTGGTGTCTAGTATTTTTGTTTGCACCTGTATAAACTGTCACATTATAGTTGACTCATGTTTCAGAATTAAAACCAGATGTCTAAAGGCATAGATCATAGCAGTAAGTTTGTCTTCTTCACAGTTTCTTACAAAGGAAATGTCTTACAATCATTAATTATAGTAATAGTTTGCCCTAGGAATAAAAATGTAAAAAGAGCATACTTAGAACTATTTATTCCTATTTTGTTCACTGTCATTAAAGCTTCTTAAACTTTTAAGTCATCATCATACTGTTTTACTGAAACTATGTAAAACATTTTCTTCGAACACAAGAAATGTTTCTAAAATGGATATTCAATCTTAAGAATATAGTTTTGGAAAAGCTTCCTTTTAGGAAGGCCTGGGTTGTTACTAAGTACCTCAGGCTATTTTAAAAACCTGAATAGGTATCTGTGGTCTTTCTGTGTATACAAATGACACCCTTTTCACACTGAGCCTGACAGTGCCATCCAAACCAGAAACTTGCTGAGCCACATGTAAGCTCAGTTGGCAAGGTTTTCTTTAACTCTTTAAATCTGCAGATTTTAATGAACGAATCTGAGCTATGAAAGTCAGATGTGTAATCAATTTCTAAGACTTAAGTCCTTCTAAAAAGATGTAACAGTGAGAAACTAAAAAACAAGTAGTCCTGGCAAAAGTTCAGAGTAGGAAGTTGACTCAGCCTCTACGGAGGCTGAGCATGAAGATCATTTTTTTTTCTATCATTAATGTACAGTTACATGAACAACATTATGGTTACTAGACTACCCCTATTATCAAGTCCCCACCACATACCCCATTACAGTCACTGTCCATCAGTGTAGTAAGATGCTACAGAATCACTACTTGGAAGATCGTTTTTTTAAAATCAGGATCTCCTATTTCTGATCTCTTGTTTACCTAGGTAAGATCATTTATTTGCCTAAATTAGTCCCTCTTCAAAATATTCACAATTTCTGTGACAAAAAGCAATCCACCTATTGCCATTTCAACTTCTACCCACACATCTATGAAAAAGTAAACACATAGACAGCATTATACTCTTGAGAACAGATCCTAAAACATAATTTCTCAAACCCACAAATAATCAAAATTTCCTAGAGGGCTTTCCCCAAATGTAAATTTCCTAAGCCCCATCCCAAATATATTGACTCAAAATCTGGCATCTTTATTTTGAAGTCCCTAAGGATTCTGATCATCAGCCAGGTTAACTGCTGGTTTAAAGCACCCTCTGCTATAACATTACTATAACAATAACCTCAAGGGGCAAAGGAGTTTTGCTGTTTTACATTAATAAAAAAGATATAAAATCTGAAAGTCACAAAAAGATGACAAGCCTTTCTCCTTCACCTCTGTACCCCAGCTATCCATTTATTCTTCATGGGCAACCAATTATTACCAGTTGCTTATCTGTCCTTCCAGAGATCCTTTATGCACACACAGATACAAATAGACATTTCCTTTATAAAAGGATGGCAGTGAATAATACATTGTTACATGAACAAACCAAGATACAGAACAATGTGTATCTTGGAGATTTTCCCCCATCAGTACACAGAGCTTCCTTACCCTGCTTAAAACTGCATGGTATATGCCATTTTGTGGATGTATCACACTTGATATATCAGTCCTCTATCACTGGACATCTACATTATTTTCAGTCTTTTGCTGCAGTACATAATCTTGTATACATACCAACTTGTACAAGTGCAAGTCCATCTATAAAACCAATTCCTAGAAATGGAAATGCTAAGTCAAAGCATACAGGTATTGTAATTCTGACAGATACAGCCAATTTCTCTCCCCAGAGGTTATAACCATTTTTACTGCCACTTACAATGTGAAACAGGAGTTTAGATTTTACACTGAGCTGAATATGATGCCAGTAGTTTACTTTCTAGATGCTTCCATGAAAATATCCTACTTTTACAACCCAGTGACATAACAAATGATATTCTAAAGACACCTTTCCAGACATGGAAATCTGCATAATTTCACCATTGCTACTAGAATGTTTTCTGGCTATTTGAAACCCAAGAAAAAGAGAAGCTGAGGTTAAGGCAATGCTTGCCTTTCTTAGCCAACATGCATGCAGTGTGGAATCTTTTTCTCCTACTTCAGCATAAAACACTTAAAATTTTCCACTTACCACATAAAGTGTTATTCATGTGAAAAATGAACCAATTGTGCTGCTAATTTTAATCAGCAGAAGTTCTATAAGTATTAAAGTTACCAAAGTCTTGCACTGGAGAACTTTACTAGAAAAAGGCAGGGTGCCCACAGGGACCCACTCTACAGCTAAGGAAAAAGAATGCCATGCAGAGTGGATGCTGAGGAGAGAATGAGCTAGAGAAACACAACTATAATGCTTCATCTCTTCTGTAATATACAATGACTACATAAGGGGAGACAAAAGGGAACACGTATTTAAGTAAAAGAGTTGACAATTTTATTTTCACATTTCACAACACAAATGAAAACTGCTTTTTTTGTCCCACTACTCTCCTCCAAAACCATTCTCTCTTTGCTAGGAAGAGGGAGCATGTCTTCCTTGTCTTACTGTTAGAAAACACCCAGAGTCACAGCACCATGATCTCCTGGTGAAGAACAAGAAGTAATACAAAACTGATATAAAGAAGCTCCCCTCCCTCCTTATCTGTCTGGTCGAGTCATTCCTGGCCGAGTGGGTACCATCATGGGACGGGCAGGAGGTCTCATCATTGGGGGTCCAGGCATCATTGGCATGTGGCCTCCCATAGGTGGCCTCATTCCAGGAGCTGCAGGACAAAACAAAGAAAAGGGGAAAAGAGAGTCAGAAAATACTACCAGCAAGGAGCTTAATGGAATTTCGATTTAAAATAGTAGCCCTCCCCTTGCAAAATGCTGGGAAAAAGACACACTTGATAGAAGTGCAACAAATTAATCATATCTGTAAATACTTAGACATTCTCAAACAAAAAACAAAAAGGTCAACACAAGAACTATATGGGAATCATGACCTAATGATAGTAAGGGGGAACTATTAATAGAATGCTTTCCAGAAATCACCAGGAATACTAGTTCCCTAAATTGACCTTTTTTTTCACAACTAAGTCACATGTTAGCCAGTCAGCTCTTTTAATCAGCTCTATCCACCATGTAACCAGAAGCTGCTTCATGAATGTACACAGGCACAGAGGACAATCTTACCACCAAACGTTTGATGGGAGTTGTAGGAAAGGTAAGCAAGAGGCCCACACGTAAGAACCTGTTAGTAACCATACTTAGCTCAAGTCAAGAAAAATAACAGGCAGTAATGTGATTTGTAACAATTAGCATATATATACAAATCTGATTTTTCTAATGCATTTTAGCAACTATTGATGAATTTTTCCAAATTTCCCATCAATATACCAGCCAAATAAATACTCCAGGGAAGGGATGGCAAGCAGAGAGGTGGGTTGGGGAGGAATACAGGCAGCTTCATGAAATTGCTCATGTTCTACTTTCTCAGCTGGGTAGGGGTTTCACGGATATTCATTTTATTATTATGCCTCACAATTTTCATGTTACATATCTTTTTAAATACAAATTTTACCTAAATATTTATTTTTAAATGAATATTTTGATTAAAGGCTTGCAATAATGGTTCAAGAGAAAACTATAAATTGCATCAAACCTTATCACAAAAAGTAAAACGTAAGTATCTGCAAAGACACAAAATCCAACAGTCACATGGATTTTTTAAGATCAATTTCAACAGGAACAGAGAATAAAACTAAACTTTTAAACACCTTTTTAAAAAACCCACCATAACATATAACCTATATTCAGCATGCCTTTAAGGAAGCTGAGCTACATAAAAGATTGAAAATAAGACACCTGAAAACTTATTTTCTTTGGTCTCCATTGCATATTTAATTTTAATTAGTTGCTAACCTTGGCATCTAGGAAGTCTAATTAAAGTAAGTCTAGTGCCTTTTTTCAACTTACTATAGAAATATTCAAACATACACAAGAATAGGAAAAAAAAGAGTATAATGAACACTGATGTACCCATCACCCAGCTTCAGTAATCATTCACCCATAGCCAACTTTGTTTATTGTAGCCTCACCCATTCTTATCCCTGCCCACCTCCTAACTACTCAATTATTTTAATGTAAATCCCACAATTTTATTATTTTATCCTGGCTAAAAAGAACACTCAGAAGAACTGCCAACACCAAGTTCTCAAATGTCAATCATAGGCTGAAGCTGAGTTCCAGAAGTCTTCTTTAAATGGGTCACGCATTCCCTTATCCACCATATCCCTAACCCCTCTAGGAATTTGAGTTTGTGATCCTGACTTTAAGAATGTGAAAGCCATCTAAGTCACTATGAATGTGTTTTGGGTTCACAAGCCAGTTAAGGCAGAACTCTTTTAATCTATACTGTCCCATCCCTCTAAATGACCCCCACAGCAAGCATACTGAATGACTCTGGCTAGGAAGTTACTCTAATACCTTTGCACCTTGCCTTACTCTAATTGAGTTATAATTGGATTTTTTAAGATATATGTCAGATGTATTTACTCTTAATTACATAATTTTACTGTTCTGACAAACCAATAAATTATAAGTGTAAAAAAAGAACTGTTTCTATGAAAATTAAGTTGATATTCAGAAAGACTCTGGCAAACCACCTCCAAAAAGTGCTAACAAATTTGGCAAGTGAGACAATCATGAAAGACTGGAACAAGATTGCCTAGTTATACAAATGGTCTCTAGCCATGTCAAAGAAAATGAAACTAAAGTTGGTAAGGAATGCACAATAGGTGTGGTTTATTGTTTTAGGCAAGAAATATATGGTGTTCCAATCAGCAGATTCATTCTCAAAGTAAAGGCCCTGGCCATGTATCAGAAAAATCTGAAAATTAATGTACATTTATATTTACATTAAAATAAAATATCTGAGGTGTAAGTTTTTTCCCCTTTCTAAACAAAAGACTAACTACCAAGACTAAGGACTCTTTCATATACTAATTTGGCCTAACTAACCAGCAAGGTTAAATCATCAGCAGGAGGTAGCTCTGATCCAAATCAAAACTGAGCAAAGTAGTAGCACAAGTATCTCTCCCCTTCCCTTTACGCCACAGTGGGACAAACTCATCTACCTTCCTCTTCATTATAAACTGCCAAAAGTCGGAAGGGATGCAAGGCAGCAGGACAGAGGGCATAGGAAACAAGAGGCAGCCTTACCCTGCTTTTAGTAGCACAAGGTCTTTGGATACCCTGCAACTGTACCGATAAACCAAATATTTCTTTTTTTATCATTATAGATTCACTAAATATAATTTGTTGCAGTAGTAACATTTAGACAGCTAATTAAGAATTCACTTATATAGAGAACTAAATCACAACACAGCCTCCTAGAAAGAAAAAAAAAGATTCCAACTTACCAGGCCCCACTGGCATCATCCCAGGAGGCGGAGGGCCCATCATTGGCATCATGGGAGGGCCCCCCATATGAGGTGCTGGCATCATACCAGGACGGGGAGGACCCGCTGAAATAAAGAATGGGGCTACAGGTTAAAATATGCTCATATTAACATTTTCTCTTCTTAACGAAACTAATAGGGCCTCATGATTTAGTCTAAATTCTGTAACAACAGACTTATGTTTTCTTGTTTATCAGTATATCCACAAAAAATCAGCGTGCCACAAAACTTTAGCTACTGTATGTCTAAAAAGCAGTAACAAGCCTGCCTGGGCAGAAGTTAAAATCAAATCATGTTTCCCAGGTTAAGAAAATTCTAAGAGTTTAATTTTTAGAGACAGAGTACTATACCATGTTTCCCAGGTTAAGAAAATTCTAAAAGTTTAATTTTTAGAGACAGAGTACCACAGGTACACTGACAAAAAGCTGATGAATTTAAGCCACAAGTACTTAATATCAGATTCTGTTTTTAAATCAAAACCTAAGTTTAAAAGATTCTTTGGAAAGATGTATTTGCAGAGATATTCCTGACAGTATCATTTATAATAGCAACAGTTTGGAACAACTTAAATATCCAACAATAAGAAAATGGTATGGTTATGGTCCACTCATCCCTTAGCCTATTCTATTATGAAAAATAGTGGAACTGAGTGCCAGCCGGTCGGGACAGAGTACGACAGAGAGGTGATCTAAGAGCTGCTGTGAGCTGAGGCTTGATCAGGCCCCAGGATGGCAGGAGCCCAGGAAGGATAGTGGGCCATTAGTGATCTACCTGTGTTAATGTATAACTCTTATAAATAGCCTGTTTTCTGTTTCTATAACCATGATTACTTAGAGGACTGAGTTTAGATTTCTGAGTTCAATTTCAGTCTGAACCCTCCCAGGAAAGCCAAACCATTTATAGCCTACTTACATAATCTCCTACTGTCTATAACCCAGAAACAATAAAGCTTTCCAGAGAGGAGAGGGCTTTGATCCACTCTGCTTCCAACCATCTAATTATGGTCTTTCACAAGATATGTATTGGTGTTAGGTGGATTTGAAAATAGGGAGAAAGACTGAGGAGTTTATCAGCTACTTCAATCATCTAGTGTTGTCTTCAGATCAGTAAGTAATTCAATATACTCATCATTACCTCTTTGTCTATTAGCTCACCTAATCACAGGTACATTTTAAGTTTTCCACTGACAATGTCTCAGATCCACTTGGGATGCCACTAATATATCCTAGCAATAATGCAATCAGAAAATAACTCTAATAATATTTCAGATATTATATCACTGAGGTTGTTTTCTATTACTATCTACATCCTCATTCAATGAGCATTTGAAAGCCAACTGTGAGATAATCTAACAAAATCAAAGGATAATCTGTCCAATTACACCCCCTGAACATAAAAACTATAAACTTACGGAGACTTGGGGGAGGTGGGATCATTGCCCCTGCAGGAGGAGGAGCAGAGAATGGAGTAGGAGGTATCTTTCCTTGTTGAAATGCAGCCGCTTGGGAAAGAGTGATAAAAAACAGTAAGTGAATAAGAATCAATACCCATATATAAAATAAACATTTTCTTTTAAATCACTAATGGTCCCAATTATTTCACTCTAAAAAGTTTCATGTAAAATTACATCATGGCCTCTACAGTTTTTAAATCAACTTTATGTATTCACCCGCTAACATTGCAATTAAATTGGCTTTCTGATTTGGGCTTTTTAACCTCTTTTTATTTAGTCAGCATTTCTACGGTTAATTAACTATGATGGACTGGAGCTAAAACCTCCCACCTATCAATGTATTACCAAAGAGAAACAGTCATCTTTAATCTGCACATGTAGTTTATAACCAATTCAAGCCATTCAATTTTAAAGAAAAATGCGTGAATGGCCCAAAGGCCAGGCTGTGTAAAACTTCAATCCTTCCTATGTATGTTGTTCTGAGGCAAAACAAAACACCACTTTGGCTTACCAGTTTTGAAAATTAATGCACCAAGAGACATGAAAGAAAGATTTCAAAACAAGGAGATTATGATCTTAAAAAATGTCTAATAAAATCAGCTTTTAATTTTCTTTCAGACAATATGAGGCATAAAAGAGAAACAATAGAGAGAAAGAAAAAGATGATCATTTATATTTGGTTTTAGAAAGGAGTCACAAATAAATACTAAAATACACACTCAGAAAGTCTATTCCTGAAGGTAAGCTCTTCCCAATTCAATGTAGCCCACAGCCCAACCCAGCCCACAAACCACCCCTTCCCATCCCACTCCATCCCCACCAGTGCAAAGGAAGACAAATAACTCAAATAAGTCACTGATAATTCATGAGGACCAGATCCAAAAACCAGACCTAAAGTGGAGATTTATGAATAGTTATTCATGTCTCTAAATAGAGCCTGTACTCTATAAGGGGTCATATCCCAATAAAGGTTTTGCCAATCAAAAAGGTACCTCCCCCACACCCTGTGTAGGAAAGCTTAAAAAGACTGAAGAGCAAGTGGCAAAGCCATTGGTTCAGTAGCAGACTCAATGTCAACATAATGACAGACATCATGAGGTGTGTCCCTGAGGGCACCTCCTCTCCAAGACTTTCATCAGAAGTGTTTACTTATCCTAAATTCTTTAGCTGCATACAAAAAATAAGCAAATAAATATAATGCTAAGAAATTTCTAATATCTTTTCAAATAGAGGGAAAAAATTTACATTATAATTTATTTTTTTCTAATGAACTGGGATAATGTCAAAGATTTGCTCCTTAACAATCCAGGAAGGAGAAAGGGAGTAGATAAAGGTATTCAGTGGCTCTCAACCAGGGGCCAATTTTGCCTCTTTTGGGGACACTGGACAATGCCTGGAGGCATTTTTAGTCACCACAACTGGGAACTGCTACTGGCATCCAGTGGGTAGATAGCAGAACTGCTGCTGACCATCCTACAATGTATAGGACAGCCCCCACAACAAAGAATTATCTGGCCCCAAATGTCAACAATGCTAAGTTTGAGAACCTTGGTATAAATGCAACAAGCCTGTTGCTGCTGGATGATGGAAATGGGGGCTAAAAGGGTGACCATGGGAGGTTCATTAAACTTGTCTACTTTGTTTGAAATTTGCCATACTAGTTTGGGTTTTTTAAATAAAGTCACATCACAATCAAAGTCCACATTTGCTACCAGCTCTGAGATAATGAACAAGAAAGGCCATATTTCAAACACATTAGGATGCTCTAGCATAGAAATATAACATCTCGTTCTGTCAGTGCCTTGGACTCAACCAACCTAAACAACAAAAATGGTCCTAATTAAACAAAAGGAGTATGACATGTACAGCAGGGATCAAAAACACACCCAAACTATTTTGTTACATCAGTTGCTCCCTTTTTGATGAGCTACCTTTGTCAGGTTTACAAAGACTAAGAAATTCAAACTCTCATGAACTCTTTGAAAAGAACTACAACCTCTCCCACAGGAAAGCAGTTTTTTATAACTATGGATCACCAGTAAGGAGGTTTTACATAAATCTGTTACAAAATCTGGTCCATGCCAATAAAGAAATATTAGACAATTCATTCCTCTCTGCCCCACTCCAGCCTAACCAATACCTGAATGCTCTAACCTCAATTATTAGTATTAATGTGGTCCTATGTCCCTGGGAAACCAATGACCTTCCACTTCTTTCATTCAACACATCAGAATCCTCTTGTTTACTATTCAAAATGAGTTGCTTCTGTGAAAACAACAGAGAGACGGGGACAAGAAAGAATGAGATCATTCTACCACATCAGAACAAGAGATTGAAACGCACTTGTTTTGTCAATCAGGCTCTGAGCCTGCTCTTCCATCCATTTCTGATAGTAGTCTTTCACATTCTCTTTGTGTTTCCTACCACTGCAGTGTGTCTTTCTCACAGATGGCTGTAAAACAAAACAGTACTATCAGTTACAGAACAAATTTTCAAAACCAGAAACTTTATAAAGCCTTATCTTTAAGTTGGTAACTTGGCTACCTTTAGCAGCTGTAGCTGGGTCTAAAGGATCACTTGTAAACATTACCCAAAAATATATTGTAGTGATTTATCTACTATTTTTCTTATCTAAATCGAAGGTCAGCAAACTGCAACCCATGTGGCCAGTCATCTGATTTTGTAAAAAGAACAAGTATTGTAACAGTGTCATTCATTTGTTTACGTATTGTCTATGTCTTCTCTCTACAACAGCAGAGTTAATTGCAAGAAAGACCATATTGTCCACAAACCTACAATAATTACAATCTGGCACTTCATGAAAAAGTTTGCAAACCCCTGATCTAGAACACAATGCCATTTTAATGCCCTTTCTTAGTTTATTCTATGGCAGAATTAGAGCTTACATATATTTAACACTGTTTATGAGAAAGTATTATTTTAAATGACTTAGGGGGTCTACAATATAGTAAACAAATCACATACAGATCTTTGTCTCTAGCCCACTGGCCATTTGTTCTTTGATAGCTTTATTGAGATAAAATTGACATAACATAAACTCAACACATTTAACCTCTTAGTATTTTTTTATTATTAAGGTATCATTGACATACAATCTTATGCAGGTTTCTCATGAGCAACATTGCGGTTACTACATTCACCCATATATTAAGTTCCGCCCAACACCCCATTGCAGTCACTGTCCATTAGTATAGTAAGATGCTATGAAGTCACTACTTGTTTTTTCTGTGCTATACTGCCTTCCCTGTGACCCCCCTACATTATGTGTGCGAATCATAATACTCCTTAATCCCCTTCTCCCTCTTTCCCCACCCACCCTCCCCACCCACTTTTCGTTTGGTTACAACTAGTCCTTTTTGGAGTCTGTGAACCTCTTAGTTTTTTTTTTTTCTTTTAGTTTTTTTATGTTAATATTTCTTTAACACTTACTACATGCCAGATAACATGCTATATCTTTACAAGATGTGTCTCAATCTTTATAAAAATCACATATGCATGACACAATGGATACAAATCAGAACCAATCACTGATGCATGCAACAGGGACAAATCTCAAAACTATGTTGAGTAAAATAAATCAGACACACACACAGAGTATAGTCTGTAAGATTCTATTCATATAAAGCTTAAAAACCAGTAATACTGATCTTTGGTAATAAAAATAAGATCAGTCAGGGCCAGGGTGCAGGGAACTGACTGCAAAGCAACACAAGAAAACTTTCTGGGGTGATGGAAATGTTCTACATCTTGATGCAGAAATCAAGTTGTATTCATTGGACAAGTCATCAAACTGTACACTTAAAATGTGTGCATTTCACTGAACACATTTTTTTATTTTTTATTAAAGTATCATTGATATACAATCACATGGGCAACATTGTGGTTACTACATTCCCCCCATCATCATGTCCCCACCACATACCCCTTAAAGTCACTGTCCATCAGCATAGTAAGATGCTATATATAGAGTCACTAGTCTTCTCTGTCCTATACTTCCTTCCCCGTGCCCACACCCTACATTATACATGCTAACCTTAACACCCCTTATTCCCCTTCTCCCTCCCTTCCACCCACCCTCCCCAGTCCCTTCCCCTTTGGTGAGTCTGCTGCTGTTTTCTTCCTTCAGTTTTTGCTTTGTTCTTATGTTCCACAGATGAGTGAAATCATTTGATACTTGTCTTTCTCCACCTGGCTTATTTCACTGAACATCCCTCTAGCTCCATCCATGTTGTTGCAAATGGTAGGATTTGTTTTCTTCTTATGGCTGAACAATATTCCATTGTGTATATGTACCACATCTTCTTTATCCATTCATCTACTGATGGACACTTAGGTTGCTTCCATGTCTTGGCTATCGTAAATAGTGCTGCGATACACAGAGGAGTACATATGTCTTTTTGAATCTGTGATCCCATTTTCTTAGGGTAAATTCCTAGGAGTGGAATTCTTGGGTCAAATGGTACTTCGAGCTTTTTGAGGAACCTCCATACTGCTTTCCACAGTGGTTGAACTAATTTACATTCCTACCAGCAGTGTAGGAGGGTTCCCCTTTCTCCACAACCTCGCCAACATTTGTTGTTGTTTACCTTTTCTATGTTGGCCATCCTAACTGGTGTGAGGTGATATCTCATTGTGGTTTTAATTTGCATTTCCGTGATGATTAGTGATGTGGAGCATCTTTTCATGTGCCTGTTGGCCATCTGAATTTCTTCTTTGGAGAAGTGTCTGTTCGTATCCTTTGCCCATTTTTTAGTCAGGTTATTTGCTTTATGGTTGTTGAGGTGCATGAGCTCTTTATATATTTTGGATGTCAACCCCTTATTGGATATGTCATTTATGAATATATTCTCCCATACTATAGGATGCCTTTTTGTTCTGCTGATGATGTCCTTTGTTGTACAGAAGCTTTTTAGCTTGACATAGTCCCACTCGTTCTTTTTTCCTTTTGTTTCCTTTGCCTGGGGAGATATGTTCATGAAAAAGTTGCTCATGTTTATATTCAAGAGAGTTTTGCCTATGTTTTCTTCTAAGAGTTTTATGGTTTCATGACTTACATTCAGGTCTTTGATCCATTTTGAGTTTACTTTTGTGTATGGAGTTAGATAGTAATCCAATTTCATTCTCTTATACGTAGCTGTCCAGTTTTGCCAACACCAGCTGTTGAAGAGGCTGTCATTTCCCCACTGTATATCCATGGCTCCTTTATCATATATTAACTGACAGTATATGCTTGGGTTAATATCTGGGCTCTCTAATCTGTTCCATTGTCTATGGGTCTGTTCTTGTGCCAGTACCAAATTGTCTTGATTACTGTGGCTTTGTAGTAGAGCTTGAAGGTGGGAAGTGAGATCTCCCCTGCTTTATTCTTCTTTCTCAGGATTGCTTTGGCTATTCAGGGTCTTTTGTGGTTCCACATGAATTTTAGAACTATTTGTTCTAGTTCGTTGAAGAATGCTGTTGATATTTTTGTAAGGATTGCATTGAATCTGTATATTGCTTTAGGTAGGATGGCCATTTGACAATATTAATTCTTCCTCCCCAAGAGCATGGGATGAATTTCCACTTATTAGTGTCCACTTTAATTCATTGAACACATTTTCATAAATTACAATTCAATACAACTGATGAAAAAAGTCACAGGTTTTTATCTTCTATTTATGCTTAAAAACTTGTCTCAAAACATATAGCTGCTAGGCAGCAAACCAAGGCTTGGAATACAGATCTCATTCAGGTGCTCCTCATGGCTGCCTAACTACTTCCTACTGGTTTATCTTCTCTTCATATGATTGCTTCAGTGGCAGCAGATATGACCAGTCATGTGAGTAAAGACTATGTTTTCATGGGTCCAATATATTTCAAAATATCGTTTCTTGTCTCCCAAACCACTGTGTGCATTAATACAGCAACAATGCCTTAAGTCTAAGAACAAAATCATGCCCAAGAACCAGGAAAAGTTCAGAAGTTACAGCACTGAAGGTTTTATATGTTTCAAAGGCCACCACAGGAAACTGCTTCAATCACCATGGAAATTTCCTACTATTTTCACAAGACATCATGTTAGAAACAATAGTATTACAAGGGTTCCTGGCATTTCTCATAAAGAAACATATATTATAAAAAGATACTTTTCAATTCTCTGAAATCTGGCATTAGCAAAATGGGAGAGTATATGACAATATAGTGCTGAAAAGGGGTAGACAGGCATAGCTCCATCACTAAATTATGACTACAGGTTTGACCTAAGGGCAGGGTTAGGGACAGAAACAAAACAGAAAGACTGAGAATCTATAAGCAAGCTACTACCAATACACCCCTATTGGAGAAGCCTCCTCCAGGACAGTCTATAAAAATATTTCTAACTATTATTTCTTCAAAAGGAACCACTCTACTTACATGTTCCACAAATCTATTAATGCTGAACTGTATCTGACCATGTGTTACAAAGAATTCCAAATGAACTGACAACAGAGAAATTATTGGCTAAGTTCTTGCAGCTACTACTATTCAAGATGACATGATCAAAAGTCCTGATTTAATCAGAATTTAATCAGAGGCAGCAAAGTATAAAGCTGCAGTTCTCAAGTTGTGGCTCATATACACCTAAGGATGTCTTATGACCTACCTTTCAGGGGGTCTGCAAGTTCAAAGTAGTTTTATAATAACACTAAGACATTAGTTTCTTTTTCCACTATATTGGCATTTGCACTGTTGCCGCCAAATTCCTGGCACTTTAGAATGAATCAAGACAATGGTGACCCAATGAATTAGAGATCATTGTATTTTTCAATGTAATGTACTCACAGGGACAAAAAGTCAGTTTCACTAAGATGATCCTAAGTGAAGCAGTTCAATTATTAATTTAATTAAATCTCAAGCCTTGAGTTCATTCCTTTTTAGTATTCTGGGTAACAAAATGAAAAATATGTACAAAGCACTTCTGCTGTATGCCAAAATATGCTATTTCAAGAAAAGCAGGCATGCAATTGTTCATGTTGCATGGAGCACCATTTTTACTTAAAAGAATGATTGAGAAACAAATTGGTTATTCAGACTTTTCAAAAATAAGTGAAAGTGAAGTGGGCCTGTCACTTCAAGGAAAGCAATTGATAGTATTTGTTGCAAATGATAAAACTTGAACTTTCAAACAAAAATTAGAACTTTTAAAAACCTTATCTGCCACCATAAGCCTGTCAGCTTCCCAATACTTAAAACCATTTCTGACTACACTGTGACTTTAATGAAAGTCAATTTTTACCTTGTATAATCAAATGTGTCAACACTCAGAAAACCTGAATAACTGAGTGAACCAATATTTTTCAAATGACCAAAGCATGTTAGGAAATCATGAATGGTAAAAGATCCGCTCAAAGTGCAAGATAAGACCAGTGAATTGTAATGTAACACAGGATGTAAAGTTTGATATGGTTTCAGATTCCACACAGCAGCTAACCATGTGTTGAGTTTTGGCACAGTAATATAAGGTGTTAAAGAATTATCCCCGATTATCTAAAAAGGCTACTAAAAATACTCCTCTTTTTTAAAATTTCATATCCATGTGAGGCTGGATTCTTCATATACTTCAACCAAAACATAGTGACAGATTTAATGCAGATAAGAATCCAGCCATTCCTTTTTACGTCAGACACAGATGTTTGCAAAGTGTTAAAACAATACCATTCTTCACACTAAGTTTTTTGCCTTGGAAAATAGCTATTTTTCACTTTTAACTGTTATTTGTGTTACAAGTAAAAAGTTTGTTATTGTTACTTTTAAATGAATTAAGTATATTTAAAATCTTGAGTTTGTTTCAAATACAGCAAATATTAATAGAACCCACTAATTTTTAAGACTGTAAAGGGATTATAAGACAAAAAGATTTGAGAGCTGCGGGTATATTTCTGGAGTTAGACTGCCTAGTTTCATCTGCCAACTCTACAGAACTCACTGGTTTTGTAACATCCAGTCAGTTTTTGCCAAACACTGCCTCAGTTTCCCTCTCTGTAAAATGGAGAGAAGCCTAACCTCATAGGATTATCATGAGCATTAAACAAAATGACACATGTAGAATTTGGAACACTGCCTGACAGAGTAAATATTCCATCTTAGTTGCTGTTACTATTTAATATTTTAATCAAATCGAAGTACTCGGTTTAAAATTTAAGCATTTTTTCCATTTGCAACAACACAGATGGAGCTAAAAGGTATTATGCTTAGTAAAATGAGCCAGGCAGAGAAAGACAAGTACCAAACGATTTCACTCATGTGTGGATTATAACAACAAAGCAAAACTGAAGGAACAAAACAGTAGCAGACTCACAGACTCCAAAAGAGGGCTGGCGGTAAGCAAAGCGAAGCGGGTGGGGAGAGAGGGAGAAGGGGATTAAGGGGTATTATGATCAGCACACATAATATAGGGGGTGCATGGGGAAGTATAGCACATAAAAGACAAATAGTGACTCTATATCATCTTACTGAGCTGATGGACAGTGACTGCAATGGGGTGTGGGGCAGGACTTGATAATATGGGTGAATGTAGCAGCCACAATGTTGCTCATGTGAAACCTGCGTAAGACTGTATATCAATGATACCTTAATAGAAGAAAAAAAATAGAAGAAAATTTAAACATTTCTTTCCAATTTAATCAACCAAATATTTGAGTGCACTGTGAACTTTAGGGCACTCCCCTGGAATTTTGTCCTATCAATTTTTTTCATCTTCAAACTTGCTAGAGCTTTATTATGTTGGGTCTCCATTGAAAACGGTGCTGGAAGACTAACAACTTCGAATTATAAAGACAGTTATTACAGAAAGGGTGGAAAAATAATTTTCCCGAAATTTATTTTCTACAAGCAGTAGTCTTTAAACCTCAACAGGATGAAAAGCACAAACTTACGTCTAAAAACAAATCTATCTAACTTACTACATATAACGTTTTTTGAAACTGAAAAGAAACACTACTTACAGAGTCATGGGTGAGGTATGTATCGCAGTAGTCACAATAAAACCTGGAAAGAGAAGGCAGGCAGAAAAAACGAGAAGGTGACAAACAGTTAACAGATGGCCATACACCGAACTGCTGTTCACTAAAGGTAAAAAAAAAAAAAAAAAAAAAGGCCTATTCACGATTCGAAGACGTCCAACCAAGTGTCGTGACACACAGCAGGCTTTTTGTTGCCTTATACGGAGTCGGCCTCCACACTACAAAAGAGGTGGCTATAGAGTCCCGGTCTCCCTCCCTACCCCCGACTCTGGCTTCTCGGACGCTTCACGTGCCAGAACTCGCTCTGCGCTCTCCGACAGGGCCACTGCTAGCGATCGCAACCGCGAATGCCCCCAGATTCAGGTTTCCACTCACTTAGGCATGTTACTCCGTGGGCCTGTGGCCACTCCGTTCCGCGCCGCCCGGAAATGACGCGGTAGCAAGCGCCAACACCGCGGACTGATGAAGTCAAGCACGACTTCCGTAACGCGAACCAGTCATCCAATGCAGCCTCCGAGCTGCCCGGCGACTGTTTACCCGCGTCGGTGACCTAATGAGGGGCGGGGCTTTTCCCTTTCTTTTTCCTATTACCTATACAGGGGCGGGGAAGTGCTACGGGTCCCTAGATGTCAATCCACGCCCTTGTACGGAGGAAGTTTCTGGAAGAGTGTTAGTCTCTGGACAGATAACTAATGATTGCTTGCTCTGTGCCAGGCACTGCTGTAAATACTGAGAAGACAGCAGTGATTAAATCACAGTTGTCCTCATGGCTTTACATTAAAGTTGGGGAAGACAGATAATGTCAATATACAGTAGGTTAGTTGGAGCCAAATGCTACGGGGCGCGGGTCGGGGGGCGGTGTTGAACGAAGCAGGGAAGAGGGCAGTTCAACCTTAAATAAGAGACACCTTGCTGAATAGGTGATAACGGAGAAATAGCAGGTATCTTAAAGCAAAAAAGGCAGGTGCAAACCACTTTTACATAGCGTCTCTTTTTCGAGTCTCATTAATCCAGGGAGGTGGTAGAATGCCCAGTTTGACATTCCATCTGGGCACTTACTAGCTGTGCAGCTTGCGCACGTTATTCAGTCTTTTTAAGCTCAGTTTCGTCGTCTGAAAAATATGGGTAAAAATTCGTACTCGTGGTGTTTACGGAAGAATTAAATGAGGACGTGTTTGTAAAATGTTTAGTACAATGTACCAACCAAGCGCTCCGCAAATGGCAGTTCTCTTAGAATAGGAGGAAATGGAAGGAGGTAACTTGTCTACAGATAAAAACTGTTCTTAAAACAGTCACAGGGGGCCATCAGGTGAGAAATTGGGGATCAACAGAGGTGAGGCTTAGAACCTCACCCTCCCTGTTTTGACAGAAATCTTCTGCATCCGTGGATGTTTTGTTGCCCTTGTCTAGCTTGGATTAATACTTAGTCTATAGGCACAGACCTGATCATCTACATTTGCCCTCTTACAGCACTAAATTATGTTTTCTACCTTTATCTTGCATCTACCTACCACTTCAGCATTTTAATAAAATAATAATAATAATAATAATGAGGGAGAAATGTGGGATTCACATATAAATCAAGTATAAAAATCAAATGAATAATAAAAAATGTCATTGTGTTATAATTTTGATTTCTCCTATGAATAAAGTTGAGTACTTTTTCATATGTTTAAGAGCCATCAAGAGTCTCAGAGCCTTCTATGAATACTGAATTTTTGTCTATTATATTGTTAGCCTCATCCTTTTCTTTTTGTTTTGTAGGGACCTTTATATAATAAGGAAATTAACACTGCCTGCAATATGAGTGCAAATATTTTTCCATTTGTTATTTGTCTTGGCTTTATTTTTGGCTGATTTTTAACATGAAAAAAATTTTTAATTTGTCTGTTGGTCCAACATGTGAATCTGTTCTTTTATAGTTTCTGCATATTTTTTTGATATCATTAATGTACAATTACTTGAACAACATTATGATTACTAGACTCCCTCTATTATCAAGTCGCCCCCACATACCCCATTACAGTCACTGTCCATCAGCATAGTAAGATGCTATAGAATCATTACTTGTCTTCTCTGTATATACTGCCTTCCCCATGTCCCCACCCCCCTACATTATGTATGCTAATCATAATGTCCTGTTTTCCCCCTTATCCCTCCCTTCCCACCCAGTCTCCCCAGTCCCTTTCCCTTTGGTAACTGTTAGTCCATTCTTGGGTTCTGTGAGTCTGCTGCTGTTTTCTTCCTTCAGTTTTTGCTTTGTTGTTATACTCCACAGAGGAGAGAAATCATTTAATACTTGTCTTTCTCCACCTGGCTTGTTTCACTGAACAGAATACCCTCTAGCTCCATCCATGTTGTTGCAAATGGTAGGATTTGTTTTCTTCTTATGGCTGAATAATACTCCACTGTGTATATGTACCACATCTTCTTTATCCATTCATCCACTGATGGACACTTAGGTTGCTTCCATTTCTTGACTATCATAAACAGTGCTGCGATAAACATAGGGGTGCATCTGTCTTTTTCAAACTGGAGTGCTGCATTCTTAGGGTAAATTCCTAGGAGTGGAATTCCTGGGTCAAATGTTAAGTCTATTTTGAACATTTTGAGGAACCTCCATACTGCTTTCCACAATGGTTGAACTAGTTTACATTCCCACCAGCAGTATAGGAGAGTTCCCCTTCTCCACATCCTCATCAACATTTGTTGTTGTTTGTCTTTTGGATGGCAGCCATCCTTAGTGGTGTGAGGTGATATCTCATTGTGGTTTTAATTTGCATTTCCCTGATGATTAGCGATGTGGAGCATCTTTTCATGTGTCTGTTGGCCATCTGAATTTTTTCTTTGGAGAAGTGTCTGTTCAGATCCTATGCCCATTTTTTTATTGGATTATTTGTTTTTGTTTGTTGAGGTGTGTTAGCTCTTTATATATTTTGGATGTCAACCCTTTATTGGATCTGTCATTTATGAATATATTCTCCCATACTGTAGGATGTCTTTTTGTTCTACTGATGGTATCCTTTGCTGTTCAGAAGCTTTTTAGTTTGATATAGTCCCACTTGTTCATTTTTGCTTTTGTTTCCCTTGCCTGGAGAAATATGTTCATGAAAAAGTTGCTCATGTTTATGTACAAGAGATTTTTGCCTGTATTTTTTTCCAAGAGTTTTATAGTTTCATGACTTACATTCAGGTCTTTGATCCATTTTGAGTTTACTTTACTGTATGGGTTCCAGTTTCATTCTCTTGTATGTAGCTGTCCAGTTTTGCCAACACCAGCTGTTGAAGAGGCTGTTATTTCCCCATTGTATATCCATGGCTCCTTTATCACATATAAATTGACCATATATGCTTGGGTTTATATCTGGGCTCTGTAGTCTGTTCCATTCATCTATGAGCCTGTTCTTGTGCCAGTACCAAATTGTCTTGATTATTGTGACTTTGTAGTAGAGCTTGAAGTCAGGGAGCATAATTCCCCCTGCTTTATTCTTCCTTCTCAGGGTTGCTCTGGCTATTTGGGGCCTTTTGTGGTTCCATATGAATTTTAGAACTATTTGCTCTAGTTCATTGAAGAATGCTTTTGGTATTTTGATAGGGATTGCATTGAATCTATAGATTGCTTTAGACAGTATGGCCATTTTAGCAATATTAATTCTTCCTACCCAAGAACATGAGATAAATTTCCATTTATTAGTGTCCTCTTTAATTTCTTTTAAGAGTGTCCCGTTTTCAGGGTGTAGGTCTTTCACTTCCTTGGTTAGGTTTATTCCTAGGTATTTTATTCTTTTTGATGCAATTGTGAATGGAATTGTTTTCCTGATATCTCTTTCTGTTACGTATAGTTTCTGGATTTTATGTCGTACTTAGGAAGGCCTTCCCCTGAGATATTTTTAATTCTCTCATATTTTTCCTAGTTCTTTTATTATGTCACTTTTTTCAGGTTTATATCTTTTATCTATATGGTATTTATTTTGAAGTAAAGTGTGGAACAGAGATCTAACCTAATTTTTCTTTTCACCAACACCAACCTAGTTATCCCACCAGCAGTTATTGAATAATCCATTGTTTTTCCTACTCATTTGAAATGCTACATTTATCATATACTAAATTCCTTTATAAATTCTACTTCATTTCTGGGATTTTGGTTTGTTACATTGGTTTGTCTACTAGTGTACCTCTAACCAACTCTTTTAATTGTTATGGTGTATATCTTATCTATGCCTAATTTAATATAAAAATATTTTTCAGTTACTCAGTTAAATTAACTAATTTTATTCCTTACTAAAAAAAAAATCTTTAAGCAATGACTCATTTGTTACATTTGTCATGTGCTTTGGCACATTCTTTGGTACACTGTTGTATACCTCTGTAGGGTAAAGTTGCCAGCTAAATATACTGAAATTCAAGTTTTGTTTTTTTCCTTTCATTAATGTTAATTCTTTCTTTTTTCTAAATTGAAGTATCATTGATATATAATCTTATATTTATTTCAAGTATAAAATGCAGTGGTTCCACAGTTACCCACGTTATTAAATCCTCATCCCCACTAATGCAGTTACTGTCAACATAGAAAGATGTTACATAATCATTGGCTATTGTTCGCCATGCTGCACTACTATCCCTGTGACCAACTTATATTTTGATTAAGAATATTTGTGCCCTTTTATCCCCCTTATCCTCCTCACCCACCCATCCCAGCCCCTCCTCCATGCTAACCACCAGTCACTTTTCAGTGTCTATGAGTCTATTGATATTTTGTTCATTTTGTTTTATTTTGTTTTTATAGTCCACAAAAGTGAAGTCATATTGTATTTTTCTTTCTCTGCCTGGATTAGTTCACTTAGCATAATACCCTCTAGGTCCATACATGTTGTTGCAAAAGGCAGGATTTCTTTTTTATGGCTGAATAATATTCTGTTGTGTACATGTACCACATGTTCTTTATTCATTCATCTACTGATAGACACAATAGTTTGCTTTTATAACTTGCTGTTGTAAATAATGCAGCAATAAACATAGAGGTGCATATATCTTTTCAAATCAGGGGTTTTGCTTTATTTTGGAAAATTCCTAGAAGTGGAATTACTGGGTCATATGGTATTTCTATTTTTAGTTTTTTGAGGAACCTCCATACGGCTTTCCACCAGTGGCTGCGCCAATTTACATTCCCACCGACAGTATAGAAGTGTTCCCATTTCTCCACATCCTCACGAACACTTGTTTTCTCTTGTCTTTTGGATACTGGTCATTCTAACTGGTATGAGGTGATATCTCATTGTGGTTTTAATGTGCATCTTTTCACATGCCTGTTGGTCTTCTGCATTTCCTCTTTGGAAAAATGTCTATTCATGTCCTCTGCCCACTTTTCGATTTGTTTTTTTGGTGTTGAGGCATATGAGTTCTTTATATATTTTGGAGGTTAAACCCTTATTGGATTAATTGTTTACAAATATATCCTCCCACGCCTTAGGTTGCCTTTTTGTTCTAC